TCCTCGGAGCCCCCCTCGCCACCCCACGACCACCCCCCACCTGAGCTCCCTACACTCAAACCCCCACCCCTGATGAGTCCCACCCCCCTGCACCACCCTGAGTCCCCACATCCAGACCCCCAACTAGCTCCGTCCAGACCCCCACCAAGCCCCACTCCCCCAGCACCCAGACCCCCCCTGCTGAGACCCCCACACCTAGACGTCTCTGCTGAGCCCCAACCACTTTCACCTGGAACCCCCGCAACGAGCCTCTGCATCCAGATCCTCCACACACACCTAGACCCCACCCCTCCCCCACCCCACTGAGCTGCCTGCACCCAGATTGTCCCACACAGAATCCTCTCACCCCCGACCTGGATGCCCCCCCACTGAACCCCTCCACATTTGGATCCTGCCTGGTTGAGCCTGCCTGCCCCACACCTGGTGCAGAGGGGTAGGGCCCTAGGGTGTTTCTGGCAGAGGCCCAGGCCTTGTGCTGTGTCAGGGTTGGGTGCAGCCTCACCACTGAGTCTGTGTCCCATGGGTGGAGGGTGGGAAGGCTGCAAAGTGATCTCTCACCTTCCTGCAGCCAGTGACCTGTGCTCCACACTGCCATGCTGGAGCCACTGCATTTATTTATTTATTTATTGACAAATAAAGCTTGTAAAATTTTAAAATATTGTGCGCAGAATTTTTAATTCTTTGCCCCTCAGCAGTATAAGAAGGAGATCTCTGGGGTCCGAGCTCTTCTTCTCCCCCCTCCCCAAGCTCAGGAGGGAGAGCTTGCCCACTGCGTCCAGCTGAGAAGGAGCGGAGCTTTCCCTTTACTTCACCCCCTGCTCATGGGAGTGCTTGCTGTCTGTGGTGTGTTTGTTAGTTAAACCGGATGGAGGGGGGACTCTTGGTGCGGAGGACCAGAAGTGGCCATTATCACGTCTCTGTGATGGACGTGTTTCTGTGTAGAAACCATCATGTGTGTGCGTGCACATGGCACGTGCCTTTGTGTATTCAGGCTTATGTACATCCAATGTGAGCACCTGGGAAGCCATTACCTTATTGTGTATTAGACTGTGTATGCCTTCCAATAACACCGCTTGGTCTGGCCTCTGTCTGTAGGGCTGACCTGTGAGAAACGATAGGAAGTCGTTTTCCCTCCCATAATCCTATATTACCAAGATTTTTAAGAGTGACAAGTGATTTTGTTTGTTTGTTTTTTGGTTTGTTTGTTTTTGGTGCCTCAGTTTTTTGGGGTGCCCAACTGCACACTGGGCTGACTTTCAGAAAGTGCTGGGCCTTTGAAAATCCGGCTCCTTAAGAGGTCTGGACACCCATGAATCAGAGTCAGTTTGGAAAATCTTGTTCTTTGTGTTTTGTGTGGGGATTTTTAAATCCATTTGTAAAGGAACAGTTAAGGTTTTCCCTAGTTTTCTGATATTCTGATTAATCTCATCTGTGATCATAATCCCAGTAATCTCAATTTGGCTTTGCTAGGCCCTAAATGATCCCTCTTGGCTACTAAAGAGCTATGCAGCAGTGTGTAAAGCACCCGGCAGAAGCTTTGGGGGAAAGAACCAGAGGCAGCCCATTGCCTGTATAAATAGGGTTCTTAAAGCTTCTTTTCTCCTTCTCTCTGTCCTCAGTAATCAAGACAAGGCTGCAGTCCTTGAAAAGGGGAGTGAATGAAGACACATACTCAGGAATCCTAGACTGCACCAGGTAAAAGGTCTCCTCACTGGTTACCAGACGATCCGGTTGCAATGCCTCTGTTCTAGGCATCTTCCATTGCCTGCTTCTTGGCAATGGGAAGGAGTTGCAGCACCAAGGGCTTCTTTTTTTTAATTGTTTTATCTGAATGCCTAAAAGGGGTTTATCCGGCCCTTGGGGAAGGCTAATAGGGCAGGTGTCCCCTTTTACCAGAAAACCCCAACCACCTCCTTCCCCGAAAAGCAATAACCTCAAAAACAAATACACAGCCCCAAGCAGAAAAGAGAGAAGAACCAGAGACTCTGTGGAGTTGACTGGGGTATTGCTATTGCTGTTGGTTTTAACATGAGAAAGTGCCCAGATCCTAGAGTGGGCAGCACTATAAAACCCCTAAGATAGATAAGGGTGAGATCTGCAGCAACTACACTTTCTCTGTGATCCTGCCTTATAGGAACTCCTGTACATTGCAGGCTACAGAACCTCACCCACCCACTCGTGTAATAGACTTAAAACCTCTGGCTGAGTTACTGCAGTCCTCAACTCCTGGTTTAAAGACTTCAAGTAACAGAGAATTCACCACTTATGCTAGTTTAAACCTGCAAGTGACCCTTGCCCCACACTGCAGAGGAAGGAACCCCCCCCCCCCCCCCAAGGTCTCTGCCAGTCTGACCCGGGGAAAATTCCCTCCCAACCCCACATATGGTGATCAGTTGGACTCTGAGCATCCTGATTCTGGTGACAAAGACAATAAATTACTTTGGGAAATATTTGTTCGCACAAGTTGCTATTATGGGCAATGGGTGGGATCAACTCATGCTGAATCTCACATGTCTCTGTGCCTCTGTAGGAAAATCTGGCAGAAGGAAGGGCCCCTGGCCTTCCTGAAGGGGGCGTACTGCAGAGCCTTGGTCATTGCCCCACTCTTCGGCATCGCACAAGTCATCTATTTCATAGGCATCGCAGAATTCTTCCTAGACATGCTTCCGAAGCGCCGGGATTAACCCTCGCGCGCACTCGCTGCTGGTCAGAATTCATCCAGCATTCGTCGTTGATGGTGTCCGAGCAACAGCATAAAGGGTTAAAGCAGCAACCTTCAGGGTGAAGGTCGTCTCCAAACAAAGTCCTTTCCACCTCTCTATATGCCCCCACCCGATCCAGCCCTCCAGGACAATACTTAATTATGCATATCTATTATTTTTAATTGACATTCTTAAAGACACTGGTTAGCACAGACTGGGCTCACAGTCCCCGGACTTTCTCCCAGCAGTGTGTGGGGGGGAAGAAACCGACCACACCCTCTGAATTACCAGGTAGTCAAAAAAGGAGCAAAAGAACCAGACTTTGTTTCCCCCAGTCGCTCTTCTGGTGTGCCAGGCTTCTGGGAAGACAAGGCCCCAGCACACCTTCTAAAGGGGGACCCATATTGTCAATAGAGGAAGCAGGTAGATGCCAGAATCAAAAAGTTTCTTTATAAGGACTTGTCCTGAAACCCCCTTAAAATCAGCTGGACTTGGATGAACTTCTTGGAGATCAGAGGAGGGGGAAGGTGGTTTATTTTATTTTAATCAAAGGGACTTCCCTCCTAAATAGGGGCCATGGGGCCTGTGGGGGGGGGGGAGATATACGCTGCACGTATTTGCAACGCGTCTGCTCTGAAAGAGTATGTCCGTGGGATCGTGTGTGAATAGCTTCAGGTGCATCAGTGTTTAGCTACGAGCTACAGGCAGGAGAGGGGAGAATTTAATGACATGGGATCAACTTTTTATTTATACAGGAAAAACAAATCCAATTATATTCCTTAAATTAGCCCAGCTCTGATGTGTCAAGCAGTTACTCTACCCAGAGTACTGGTTGTGTGTGTCTTTTGGCCTGTCTCTAAGATGTGTTCCTCTCCTTTCCTGTGGTTGTTTGCACTTGCAAAGGGTCACTTAAAAAGATGGTCTCAGAGTCAGGCCTTTTGGTTAAAGATCAGAATAGGCCACATCCTCGGCTGGTTGAAATGGTCGTAGATCCTTTGACGTCCGTGAGCTCTTGAAATCAGCGGGACTATGATAGTTTACACCAACTGAGGATCTGGCTCAATGTCCTTGGGGATTGAGTTGCCAACTTCTTTATCCAGACCAAAATTGGGATGTGGAAAAGAAATGAGGCCAGGGCATCTGTTTTATTTCCACAGGGACCTAATTCCATATGATTTGCCTCTCAAAGGCCAGGTCTGGTTTTGCTATGATGTTTTCTCTGAAATACATACAGAGAGGCAGTATGACTCCAGTTGGATCCACGCCGGCACAAGAGCCTGCCTGTGTGCGTCCAGTTGTGGGATTGAGGAAGATAGCCAGACTTACTGCTCACTTTGGGGAGGTGGTCATTGACTGGATAACAGGCTGGCAACCCTAGACATGTGCAAATTCTGTTAAAGGGACACTAATGTTTTTAAAAAAAACCAAACCTTTTCTTTATCTATATTCACAATATCACTTTGAATTGTCACAAGGGAAAGAACTGAAAATCTAATTTGCTTTATTATTGCACTTCATTCCATTTCAACATGTAAACTAAACGAGTCAGTTTCACTTTCTGCTTCCCCATCACTAGCATCATGGTGCTGTTTGTGTTTCAGACACAACAGATGAAGAATAAGTAAAACAAACAGTTGAAATCTTTGTGTATTTCAACACTCTCTTTATTTAGGTTTTGTAAAACTTTTTCTTTGTAAAACCAAAATTGGAGGCCAATTGTCCTGATCATGTACCTTTAATGTAAAGGAGGTTGTTACACAGCTAAGTTCTTACTTTTGCCTATGTGAGACATAAAAAATGACTCTATCTATGTAGAGAAGGGAATCTGCATAGATGACCTCTCTATTCATAACAATCTTTTGTGATCAGTACGATGATGCTTGTGTCACTCTGGATTTTTCTGAGTTGCACTTAAAGAAAAGTTTTTCTTTTTCTTCCATAGGGTGACTCTTCTCCTGCTTTATGATATATAATGAAGGCCTGAAAGGTGTAGGAAGTTGTTGGTGGTGGTTGTTGTTGTGTTTTTTTTTTCCCTGCTTGATTTTTTGCGTGCAAGATTCAGATCCCCGTCTAGTCTGGAAGAGTGATGGTAGGAGAGCTGGTGAAATGGTGGTGTCCCACGAGAGTGAAAGTTGGACAGTTGATAAGAGAGGATTTCTAGTCACTAGTTCAAACTTTTTTTCTTTGTGTTAACCCCTATTTAATGTTAACGACTAACTTACATTTTGGAGAAAGGAAGGTTTTGTTTAACCCCGTCAATTATGGTATGAGAGCGCAGACTAACATCCCACTCGCTTCCCAGATGTCATCCAGCAAGACCAGGGAAACCCAAGAGCTGAAATTCCTTATATTTAAAAGGTGAAGAGCAAGTGACCTTCTCCTCCTCTTTAAAAACAGGCCTTCTCTATACATCATAAAGAATCCAAAAGGAACACCAGTCTCATTTTTTGAACAGTCCTTTGCCTTTCTTGACAAAATTTTAATGTTCAAATAGTGATTTTCCCCCTCTCCCCCCCCCCATATATTATTGTGTATGAGACTTACAATTTGGGGTTAAAAATACATTGCCAGTAAACATTTGTCAGAAGGAAATGAAGAGCTCCGTGGCAAATACAGGTTTGAAGCAGCCTCTCTCCCTAAGATATGCTGCTCTTATTATGGATATCTGTGCTCCCAGCTGTCTGCTTTGCTCCCATTTGGGTTCACACTGCGATGTGGACCAGCAATGTTGTTGCCATGGTTATTGGGCACAGAAAAGGACCTGGAAAATGCTGCTTTATGGCCTCCGACAAAGATCCATGGAAATATCCCTTCCTTTCTCCCCTCTTCCCCCCTTCCTCCCCAACCCGGTTTTTATTTTTAAATTTCAGCAGAATGATTGCACACAGTGAGCCCTGTGCGGTATGTCAGCGCGAGGCCTTTGTGAGCTGAAGTTCTTGGTGCTGACGAACTTGCACTGCTCCAGCCTAGTGAGGAGTCATCTTTAGTGCCTAGAGACTTCAGAATTTTACAGGTCTGTCCTTAAATCAGGAGCAATTGCATCTGCTTGAGACCTGGAATTTCAAAGGGGGGCCCCTGACGTTGCTGCAGTAACTGTCTCTAGCTGGTGACCCTGCAACCCATCAAGTCAGAAACTCTTACGTTAACATTTAATAAACCCCTCCTCCTCCCCCGCCCGGCTAAGCCCTGTCCCTTCCTGGCAGGGCTGCCTGGTGCCACCCATGAATGCTGCAGGTGCCTCTGTTTGTTCTGATAATTCCAGCTGTGGAGGGGAGCGGTCAGTGTTGGTATTGGCAGCTGTAGCCCATTGATTACAGTGGAATCAGCTGCACTGGTGTAGATCGTGGGTATGCTAGGGCTTGGCAGCAGTGGTTAATATCCCCATGTGAACAAGGCCTTAGTGCAGCTCTAGAGACCAAACTGTAGAAGTTTCCATTTAACAGAAGCGTGACTCCCTGTTAGTTCCGTACACCTTGCCCCACCCCCTTCACACTGGGCATTACCAAAAGGGCCAGCACTTCCTTGCAGGTGGTGTAGATAGGGCCATTGGGGAACTGCAGTGCTCAATGACTAGCTAACACCCTATGGTCACCTTGCCAAGCCCAAGTGCAGAACCCACCCCTGTTAAGGGCCTGAGCCTGGATTAATAGCAGGCAGGAGTGCAGTTCCCATCCCTGCAAAACTTTGCCTGAAGGAGGAGAGCAGGATCAGGGTAAAGAGAGTTCAAAGTGAGTCCTGTATCTTCATTCCAGTGTCAGATCGAGTACCAACCTATGACCCAGCAGGGAGCTTGCAGGCCCACGTCTCACAGGGTTTTCAGAACATGCCCAAACCCTCTGGAAGCCAGGAATGTTGGGTTTATACCCAAATCCCCTTTTCACTGGCTTCATGAACCCAGCAAAGCATGTCTGGCACCATTGTTGTATCGGTGTGCGCGCTACAGCTTTCAGCAGTGTGTTCTGCCTGTTGGGGAGGGAGAGGCCTGGGAAAGGGTTTGAGACCAGTACAGGGGAGGGGAGACTCTTTAAAATGTATTTAATGCTGTATGTTTAAAAGGACCTGCTCACATCCGTGTTTCCCTGGAGATCGTCTCCTGTCACTCCAACAGTGGAGGACTAGAATGCAGAAATGCTGATGGTTTTTTTTTCTGCATGGGAAAGAGGCGATCTATTTCCCATGACCCCCCTGACTTTATTTCCTGGTGATTCTGCTGGCAACTGCTGTTCTGGTTGGGAACTTGATTTGAGTTTGCAACACTGGCTGGCTCAGGGGCTCAAACAGAGGCACACTAGTGTGTTGAAGCTGAATGCTCCTAAAGAGATTACCTGTTGCAAGAGGGAGATCAGTGTCTGTGATGATTAAACCTAAAAATTGATTCCTTGGAACAACCTCTTGAAGATTCCAAGGGGGTGTTAAACCTCTGATACTGGTGTTTCTGTGGAATATGCTTGTGCGCGGGCATAGAATGCCCAGCCTGTTACTTTTATAGGACGTGCCTGCTATTGTCCCTTTCTGATATGATATGCACTTCCAGGTCCATGTGAGCTGCACCGTGAGTCATCTTTAGTTTGTTTCTTTCCATCTCAGAAACAGGAAGACTAAAATTTTCAGAAGTGACCTCTGATTTTGGCTGCTCGGTCCTTGGGTGCCCAACCTCAGGTGCTTTGGGCCTGAGTTTTTTGGAAGAGCTGAGCACCCCAAATTCTAATTGAAGTCAGGGGTGTTCGGTGCCTCTGGAAATTTGGCTCACGACATCTCAAAGTAGGCACCTAAAATCAGGCTACTTTTGGAAATGTTGGTCCTAAATTTATAACTAATAGACGTGGCTGGGATCCTGACAGCCAAGACTTTGACTTGGGACCCCATCAACAAAAGCCAGTGTTTAGACCTAGCAGTTTTGAGTATTTCCCTTGCAGAGGTCTCAGAGTAGCTAAGAGGTGGTGTGGGAGACACAGAAATAATTTAGTCTCTCAAAATGCAGACTCACCTGGCCAGAGCTTTAATGAGCATCCTGCAGGCTAAGCTGACTGGTAATTGTGACTCTCCTAGGAGATCGGACACTGTCCTCACCATTAGGAGTTCCTGGAGTCAGCAGGAAAAGGGTCTCCATGGTAGGGGAAGAGGAAAAGCATGATGTGTGGACCAGTGCTAGTGATCAGCAAGATAACTTGCATTTTGAGGTGGTGCTTTGACATGGATTTCTGCTCCTTTTAACTGCCTTGTTGTGGCCCATGATCGAGGGTGCCTGTGGCTTTTCCAAATAGCTTTTGGGAGCGCTAGTTGCTGATCACCTAGCTGTGTATGCATGCAGAGCCTCGTGCCCCATGATACTCTACTTCAGGTGCTTTGTTGGAACGGGGACCCATGGATGTCCCAATGTCTGCCCTAAGCCTTGCAGTAGGGGCCAAGGGGTTTGGCCTATCAGGACACAATTACAAAATCCAAAGGCAAACGTGAGGGCATTGGCTCCAAAAACCTCTGTGCCAAGATCTGTAGTCCAGGTCTATTACCTCTTTGTTCCACTACAGTGACCTTTTGTAGTGCCTGCAGCAGTAGGAGTCTGTCAGGCTGCCTTTACCATCCAGCTCTGCCTGTGGCTTACCCCACAAGGGCTGTCTACACTGGAGAAATTGTCTAACCAGTTCAGCTAGACCAACTTTTTTTTATGAAATAGTCAGGAACCATTGCATAGCCCTGGACTGAAGCAGTTAAGGCAGCCCGACCCAGTTAGAAGGCCAAGTGGTCAAGGCTACTGCTCTGATCGGTTTTAAAACCGATTTAGCTGTACTGACTTAAAAGCAGTTAGCAAATCTGCCCAATGTAGACAGGCCCCTAATGCCAGGCAGTGTAAGATCCTTGCAGTTCAGTGAATCATTGAAGGCCAGAATCCCACGACATATGGAAAAACAAAGCAGAGGTCACAGCATTACAGTGGCTGAATGCTTCAGTTTCCATCAACTGTGGCCACTGCAACAGTCGTAGCTTCATTGTATACAGTTCATCTGCGTGATGTGCCCTGAGCATAGGCATCTTGAACAGATTAGTCGTCTTTGTCAGTAGACTTTTTAGACTAAATGATAGAATCAGGTGAGGTGGTTTGTAACTGACCCGTAAGGGTGAGTGAGTGTTGTGTAGTGGCTAATCACAGGAATGGGAGATGGGAATTCTGGGATCCACCTGGCTCTGCTGCTAATTCAAGTGCCCCAGTGAGATGGGGAAGAATCCTTGCCTACCTTGCAGACGTGGTGAGGCTTAATCCATTTGTCTCTTGAGAGCATCGGCTGGAAGGTACTACAGAATGCAGCTTACGGGTATTATAAGAAGGGTTGACTGTTCTTCAAATATGAATTGAACTGAGCATTCAGGCCCAATTAAATAACATGGATTCATGTGTCTTGGGGAAACCTGACCGTATGCAAGAACGATAATGTGATAGCCAGAATGGAGCCATGCTAATTTTACATCAGCTGAGGATCTGGCCTTTTCTGCCTTGTGCATGTTAATTGCAAAGTAATAATTTTTTTTTTGTTTTAAATCTGCAATATGTAGCCACTGCTCCGTCTGGATGTACGGATTGTTTGCAATAGGTTCTCTAAGTCACCGTAATGAGACCAGCTGGGATATTCCACTCTAGCCTGATGTTCACTTGTCCTTAATCTCGTCCATTCCTAACTAATCAGATGTACAGGGTGTGAAATCTCTTGCATTCCTGCAAAGTTCAGAGAGAGCAGAGCAAACTGTTGACCGGCCTGCAAATAGTGCTGATGCTTTTGGGAACCTCAGGCTGTCTATGGGCTTTTGTAGGACGTGTGTGCTGTTGTCCCCAATGGACTTTGTGAGGCATGTGACACGTTACATTTGTGTTTTGTTGTGCACTCACCAAAAAGGAGCCATTGGCTTTTTTTTTTTTTTTTAAGCAGCCACATGAGTGCAGGTTAATAACAAACTGAGGCCATGGTACATGGCACGTGAACAGGAACTGGAAGAGGCACCGAGAAAATTGGAGGTGGGGGGCAGTCATGGGGCTTGAGTCTGGTGATGGTAGAAAAGGTTTTTTTTGGAGGATGGGGATGGGGAGTGGCTACAGAAGGATTCTGATGTTCAGTGGCACTTGGTACCTGCCGTTCCCATTAACTCTAAGGTTGAAGGTTCAGCACTAGAGCTGGTCAGAATGGGCTTTTTTTCCCCATGGAAAATTGAGACTTTTTAGTCGGAGTGGGGGGGAAGGGACAAAATACTTTGGTTTGAAAATGTTGCCATGGTGCCTCATGGGAGTCATAGTTTGAGTGCCTCCTCATGGTAAGGCGAACTGGGTGCATCATAGGAGCCCTTGGCCAGGGTACATCATGGGAGATGTAGTATGGCTGAAGAGCCTGGCTCACAGAGGAGAAAGGGGACATGAGGAAATCAAACTACAGCTCCATGAGGCACCATGCCAGCATACCCGAACTGAAATGTTTTCTTCTTTGGATGAAATAGTTAGATTTGGGGGCCTTTTATTTTATTTTTTACAAAATGATTAAATTTTCCATGGACACTTAGTGAAAAACTTTGTGTTTGGGGTGTGTGGTGGTGGTGGTGGTTTGTGTGTTTTTATGGAAAACTTTTGATCAGCTCTATTCAGCCTCTCTGAAAATGAGGCCCATAGAAGCTGGGGGAGTCTGTGAAAACTTATGATTGAAAGAGGGGAGTAGTGAATACAAGGGCACAAGGAGAGAAGTAAAGGGGGCATTGTGTGGAAGGGACCTGATGGCGGTTGGTGGGGGGAATCTGGAGGGAGTATATAACATGGCACAGGGGAGCTGAAACGAGGGGATCTGCAGAAGAGACTCTGCACAGAGAGGAGGAGGACTGGCTATACAGCCTGAGAGGAGGTGTATAGAAGGGACTAAAAAGACATGACTCTGAAGAAGCCTTTGCTATAGCAGCCAAGGGTTTGATCCTGCCAACACTGGGGAGTGGCAAAGCTTGTGTTGATGGGTTCAGGCTTGAGGGCCAGATGCACTGTGTTGTTGGTTCTCTCCTGCTCCTGGATGTTTTGCCTATGGTTTCTGTGGGTGCCAGAGTAGGCCCTTTATCTTCTGTCAAACAGCACAGTGCCCAGTTACCACACTGACATGAGCTCTGCGGGCAAACAGGAAGGGAGTGGAGGCCCAATGCTGCTTCAGTAAGCACAACTTCCACATGAGGGGGACACATCTAGGAAGCTCTACTTCGGTACTGATGATCCTAGGGACCGGAGCCTGACAAGAAGCAGCAAGGGCAGGTACAAAGGCTTTCACTAAATGGACCCCTCAAAGGATAACCCGTCTTACCCTGGCACGTGTGTGAGGGAAGCAGGCTGGCACAAGAGAAGGGGATGTTTTGCTGTACATCTCTAGGATGGGGTGAGCTATACTATCAATGTAGGTTTGTGTGCAGCGGAAGACCTTTTTCCTCAAGTTACTCATACGCCATAACCTATTTGGAATATTTCGGGGCTCAGTGATAGGAGGTCTCGCCCACGAGCAAGAGGGTCTGGATTTCTATTCAGTGTATTGCTAGCTTACATGGACTGTATATTTTGTGCTACAATTGACTGTTGCCTATGCTCATCCCTCTCTGAGCCTGGAGTCCACTATCGGAATCCGCCACATCACAGGAAGGAGCCGTAGGCCGTGTGTGTTGGGGGTCGGGGGGTGTATGAGTGTGTGTTTTGGATTCACTTTTCTCCCTCCTACAGCTTGATTCTCCCTGACTCATGCTTTGGTGTGGAAGGGGCGCCGTCCTTCTCCCATTTTCATGGCTTTTGGGGACCATGTTGAGCCTCAGGTGAAGGTGACTAACGTGATACCTGGAATGATACCCTGGGTTCCGTGACCTTTCGGCCCTGCAGGCGTGGCCTCCACTAAGGTGACAGTAAAAATTGAGCTCCAAAGCTGCCTTTTGAGGAACGCTGCGGGTAAACAGGGGACTCCATCCTCCAGAGCTGTCAACCTGGCACCTGGCCCCAGAAGAATTAACTAAGCCAGACACAAAATGCTTTCTGGTTCAGAGTAGAATTGATTTCTCTCAGGAACTGGAGCAGACTCCTGTTTCCATGGAAACAGGACTTCACTCCCTCCTACCCTACTGTATGTGCCATGCACTAAGCTCTTTGAGGCAAGCCTATTTGTTTCTTAAGAATCGGGGACCTCAACAAAATGTCCTGTACCTTGTGTGTGCGGTTGTGCCTGAGGGACAGCAGAAGTGCTGCTGCCCTTGGTATCTGGAGCAAATATTTTGAATGAGGGTGTGCGCAGCAGGCTCAGATATTTGGAGTCCTCTTCCCCAAAAACCTTCATGCTAAATGTGCTCCATTCTCTGACTGGCTGTCCAAGAGTCTGTATGCTTCTGAGCTAGAGCACAAACCCTCTGGAGAGAGACTGCTCCCTCTGGACAGTTCAGTCTGTTTAATATCAGCCAGAGGCTGCTCTAGAGTTGCAATTCTAGAAGGGAAGCAGCGAGTCCTGAGACTATCATTTAAAGGCGCAACTGCATCACAGCCTTTTCTGGAGACTAATAACAGTGGGTCTTTAATTTCTTCAGAGAAGAAATGTTGTTCCCATACTATTCTGGCCCTGTCACACTCTTCATTCCTGGATCCTACAAACACTGGAAAATGCCATTGATGAAGGTACAATTAAAGAAAACCACTGCCACACAAAGCCAGTGGTTTGCATGTGTCCATTTGTGTGTGGTGACCTTCCCTGAAAAGTGCTAGACATCCCACCGTTGCTTCAGACAGTTTGGGAGGCAAGGGGTGGTCTGATCATTGGTCCAAGAGCCAGGAATTTATAAACTGCTCTGACACTTCCCTCCCTCTGTGATCTTGGTCAGGTCACTTAAACTTGCTGCCTCCCCTTTTTTTCCATTGGTAAAATAGATCATTTCTCCGACCCCACAGTTGAGACTGAATTAGCTTCTGTTTGGAAAGTGCTGCCTACAAGTGCAAAGTGTTGCTGTTCCTAGACTAGACTGAGACGAGGCAGGCTTGGGATTTGCTATAATGGAGCGATCCATAAAAAGCTGGAAAAACATGACTATTCTTGACAAAAACTAGATACCTGGCAAATCAGGAGTAGGCCGGACAGTGACATGGGTGCAGGGCACAAATTGTAAGGCCTCATCCAAAGCCTGTTGTAGTCCCTGGAAAGACTCCCGCCAAATACAATGGGCTTTGGATCAAACCCGTGTGGGAGAAAGGAAGGGATATTTTCCTTGCTGAAATAAAGTAATGACATGAGCAAATCCAAGGAGAGGATGTGCAAGACAAGCATGCCTTTGGTTAGACACTTTTCCTTTGGCCCTGCTTGTGCCTGGAAGGCTTTCCTATCCCTTGCAGCAATCCAGGCACATGGCACACATCCACTTCATGCACAGTAGATGCGTCCAATGAACGGGAGGTGAAGGTATGTGCAAAGGCAGAATGTACCCGCACACAGCTGGCCAAATCTGTGTGCACGCTTTGTGTATGTGTCAGGGTTTGCACAGCTCTGCACTGTATTTTGTGTGTGTGTGTGTGTGTGTGTTGTTCTTTTTTCTCTCTTTTTTTTTTTGTTCTGACCTTTCCCCCCCACCTTGGAAGGGAAAGCTGAACACGTGATCCTTCCAAAGCCCACTGAAGTCCATGAGAGTCCTTCCATTGTCTTGACTGGGCATTGGACAGCGCTAAGGGCACCAGCAGCATAAAATCCCCCTCTGTTTGCATCACCCGTCTTTCCTCCCCAAATGTGGTCCTCTATGTGGCGTCGCAGTGATGAAGTGAACGAGCTGTAGAGTGCATTGTTGGTGTCTGTGGCTTGGTGTCCAAGGTTCTATCTGCTGCTCCTGAGGCATTAAGGGAGTCGAGCTGTGAAATTTGTCGTTGCCCAATTTGCTAATATTTGCTGTTTTATGCTAGGTTCTTGTCAAGTTTGGCATTCCCAATGCTGGCATGATTCCGTGCTGTTCTGAGCGCGCCCTGGGACCTTCTACTAATGAAGAGCTCGTCTTCTCATTTCCAGTTCTCTTTATTTTCTTGGTGTAGTTCTTGAGCAGTAGCTAATCAGGAACATGGAAAAGACCAATAGATCCCCATGTAACTTATCCCATTCAGCAACACTAATCTTAGTTAAGAGTGTTTTGACTGATTGGACTATTTTCTGTGTAAATTTATTTATTTCTTGGTGTTTTTAAAAGGGGGAGACCCACATTCCATCATTTTAAAACCCAGCTGGTTCAGTTCCATGTTCCGTGTAGTAATGTTTGACCATTACATGTGTGTATTAAACTTTTGCAGTTCTCTTCAATGCGTACAGTCCTCGACTTTTGGTGGTTTTTCAATAACACCATATAACATTGTATCCTGTTACTGTAGGATCCTGGGCCATACCTGTACTGTTTTAAAAACTGCTGCTTTAAGGGGGAGAATTTTTTTTTTCCTATTTGAAGTTTTTAAAAATATTGTAATTTTGTGTGTGTATTGTCTTGTAAAATAAATATTCTAAATATAACTGGATTCCCTCTGTTGCTTGGGGGGGGGGATATGCGATCTGTCTGCTTATCTGGCCCCATTGCCATAGTATCTGTGTGCTTCTGGTTGATAATCGACTTTGAGACACACCTGTGAGGTAGGAAAGTATATTCTCATTTAACCAATGGGGACGTGAGGCATGGGGGTATCTGTGGTAGAGCCAGAAGCTGAGCCCAAATCTCCTGAGTCCCAGCTCAGTACCCCATTTGCTAGCCCATCTTTCCCATCCCTATTGGTGCTGGCCTATGATTAGGTGTTTGTATTTCTTTTTCTGGTGGGGGGTGGGGAGGGTTGTGTCTGAGTGTCCAGGAAAGCCAACTGAGGGATATAGAAGTAGGGATTTGAACAACTGTAGCTAATAAAAATATTCAGGACATACCTGCTGTGCTATGAGTGTGGTGTGTCCGTCTAGCTCATTATAGAGGTTTGACCATATCACAATCACTCCATGGGTAGGCATGAACTAATTAGTTAATGCTAGGGAGGAGACTAGGTGGAGAGACAGTGCTGTCTAGTGGACAGGACACAGGCCTAGGAGTTAGGAGACTCTCTGGTTCTGTTCTTGCCTCTGCCACTGATCTAGTGTGTGACCCTGGGCAAGGTATATCTGTGCCTCTGTTTCCCCCTCAAACCTCTTGCCTGTCTTGTCTTCATGGATTGTAAACTCGTCAGGGCAGAGGCCGTCTCTCACTGTGCACAGCACCTTGCACAATGGGCCCTGGCCTCAGCTGGGGCCCCTCTATACTACCCTAGTATTACTAATAAAAAGGGATGTTGTTGATCATGGGCCAAATTCTGGTCTCTGTTACACTGGTGTAAATTGAGAATAGCTTCATTTGAAAAAAGAAAAGTGGGACTGTAACTGGGATCAGAAGCTGAACCCAAGAATGAGGTGCATTAGCTTGGCTTGTGAGGGCCCGTTAGTGCACTATTAGGGGGTGCTTTGGGTCAAGAATCAGGTGGGGGGGGGAGGGAAGTCATGCTAAAGGGGAAAGGAGGCAGGGAGTCTTTGCAGATCCATGATTGAAAAGGATCAGCCTAGCTGCTTAGAGATGATGTACCGGTAGTAGTAATAATACCACCACACTGGCATAGCAGGAGGCAGTGCAGTTTGTGACCAGTGCATTTCCAAACCTGTGCAGGGATAGCAGCATAGCACTGCCCTGCACTCAGCGTGCCTCCAGGTGGTGCTATAGTCCCTCACCTTCAAGAGAACTAAAAATCCACTGGAAAAAATGACACCTCGCTTTTCACCCTGGCCCGGAAGTTACTCTACACATTGTGTGTGGCTGGGCCGGGCCAGGTCAGGCCATGAACACATGTGACATGGTTCCTTACGAGATTGTACCGCGTGAAACAAGATGTGTTCCGCTTCTATGGAAACGTGACTGTAAGAGAGATTGGACCATGTCCCAGAGCTGCAGCTCTGCCCTTTCCCTGTGGGAGACTCCCTAGCCATCACCTTGCCTCCCTTCCTCCCCTTGACAATGGGGCTGTGACATAGTACCATTGTGACATCAGAGGCAAATCAGCCTCTTAATTTTAAGGCAGTGAGCCTTCTCGTATTTACCCTAGTGGAAATCAGGAGTGGCTCCTAGAAGCCAGTGGGGGTACAGTGGCACGAGACCAGAGTCCGATCTCTCTCCCTCCTCTGTGATGACCTCTGCAGCTCTCTCCTAAAGCAGCAAAGTCACCTTATACATTCTGACAAATTCCCTGCTTCTGTCCATTGTCTGTGTGGCTGACATCTTCTGGCCAGCTGCCGAATAGCAGGTTTGCAATCCTAGCCCCTTTGCAGATAGTAAGGATTTCAGGCTTCTCTAGCTAGGGAAGTGGCATAACTATACCAGTCTAATAATACAGCTGTAGATATACTGGTATAATGCCTCGTGTGGATACTTAGTCAGGAGTTACACTAGTATAACTACACCCTGTTAATTAGACCACTACAACAAACTGCTAAATTGCCCCCTGTAAACAAGCCTCTCTATTCAGCCCATCCTTGTAACAACTGGGCACACATTACAGAAACGTGAAGCAAATTCCTGTCCACAATTGGTGGGAGTCACTTCTCCCAATGGCTGAGCCTCCAGAAGCACCTCTCATTAAGAAAAAGCTACAGTGAGCTAAGGATGTCAATGGCCATTTCCCATGATCTTCAGTGGAGCAGGATTAAGTTCCACCCAGCCTCATGCAGCTCATAACAATTTCCCAAGGTGCTAGAAGGTTTAAAAACCGCCTTCCACTGTCTGAGTTTGCCTGGAAAATCAGCTCTGCAGAAGCCACTGTGGGAACACTGTAGTGCATTGTGTTCTCTCTGACAGCCCCATCTATATGGCTGTTGTCCTGTCTAACGTGGTCAAGGCAGGGCTATTCTCTTCTCTTCCCCCCCCACCCCCCCCCCGACCCATGTCAAAACTCAGTTTCCCAGTTAGCAGCAGCAGCAGGAGCCCTATGGAGCCAGGTGTTTTTTACAGATTGATCAGCAGTAGTGCATGGGGAGAGAGTCACCATTCCACAGCACCCCAGCCTCTTAGCACCCAACCGCCAACCTGGCTTCTGACCAATCATCTGAGATTTTGTACCTCATTCTGCTGTGAATGTAGATTTCATAGACCATAATTAAGATACATTTTAAGCTTATGGGGCTTTCTTCTTTGCTGACCTTGAGGGAAGCACTGGTTTCGCCTTGCCCCTCTCAATCTGAATCAGTACTCCTGGGCTCCACCATGCTTTGCTACTTTGTGCTTCACATTAGCAAGGCGTGACCCATTTACAGCTACTCTCGGAACAGCAGGAAATTGATCTAATTTATAGAGGCTCTTCCATGTTTAGTGGTACAAAGAGGGATTTTCTAAATGCGAATGGCGAAAACACTGTTCAAGCTATTCTCTCTAGTGTTCAGCACTCTATCTTCCTCTTTGTTATAAATATTGTTATTGATAAATCTAACAAACTCCAAAACAGAGTAAGAAAACTGCAAGCCAGATTCAATCTATAGGTATCTCCTATGAAAGAGTGAGAGAGAATGAATACTGGGCACTAAACACCATAGCTACGCACATGCAGGCCAGCAAGGGGCCATTGATGGGCCTGACTGATTCTCAGATACGCTAAGGTTCCTTTTATGCTGCAAAGGAGCCTGAAAGGAGATAGAAATGCACCCCTGTTGACACTCCCAGCTGATGTAGCGCTGGTATAAGGGCTCTATACTGGGACCAGAACTAGTCAAGAGTCCTGGCCAGGTTGCCCTGCACTACAGCTAATCTCTGCTTCCTGCATGCCAGGGCTGGGCTACTCTAACTTATCCGGGGAGCCAGGTAGGCCCTAGAATACAGTGGGTACAAAGATGGCTTAAAGGTATCTTCATCCATCTCTCCACCCCTGTGCGTGGCCCAAGTGTAGGAATGGAGTATGGCAATCCAGCACAATACAGTGTAGATTCAGCAAACGCATTCTTCTCAGTGAGGGCTGGGGTTCCACTTTCAAGCCCCTGATGTTTTATATGTTTCTAATAGGTTTCATTTGTGTGGGTTTATATGTTCAGTAAAATATACTGCAGGAGTTGATGCTTTATATTGAAGTCAATGAAGCAATGCTGCTTTAGCACTACGGAACTGAGGATCTGGTCCACCTCGTTCACTCTTTGTGCACCATCTCGTGACACTTTTTCCTTGTTGTTCCGCTACTCAGCTGCCCTGTATAAGAGGAGAAAACAGTATGAAACTTAAAAATTAAAGTTTTAAACCGTCTCAGTTGCCCCTGGAGCTGCCTGACACTGTGCAGCATTAACATAAGACTTTAAAGTGATGGTTCTGTTTTATGACTGTTGATTTCAATGGTAAAATGAACAGGAGTACTTGTGACACCTTAGAGACTAACAAATGTATTTGAGCATAAGCTTTCGTGGGCTACTGCCCACTTCTTTGGATGCATAGAATGGAACATATATTGAGGATTATATATATATATATAATATACACACACATACAGAGAGCATGAAAAGGTGGGAGTTGTGTTACCAATTCTGATAGGCCAATTAAGTAAGAGGAAAAAAAAAACTGTTGAAGTGATAATCAAGATAGCCCAGTACAGACAGTTTGATAAGAAGTGTGAGAATACTTACAAGGGGGGAGAGATTCAATGTTTGTAATGGCTCAGCCATTCCCAGTCTCTATTCAAGCCTAAGTTGATTGTATCTAATTTGCATATCAATTCAAGCTCAGCAGTTTCTCGTTAGTCTGTTTTTGAAGCTTTTTTGTTGCAAAATTGCCACCCGCAGGTCTGTCATTGAATGACCAGACAGGTTAAAGTGTTCTCCTACTGGTTTTTGAGTGTTATGATTCCTGATGTCAGATTTGTGTCCATTAATCCTTTTGCGTAGCGACTGTCCAGTTTGGCCAATGTACATGGCAGAGGGGCATTGCTGGCACATGATGGCATATATCACATTGGTAGATGTGCAGGTGAACGAGCCCCTGATGGCATGGCTGATATGATTAGGTCCTATGATGATGTCACTTGAATAGATATGTGGGCAGAGTTGGCATCAGGCTTTGTTGCAAGGATAGGTTCCTGGGTCAGTGTTTTTGTTCAGTGATGTGTGGTTGCTGGTTAGTATTTGCTTCAGGTTGGGGGGTTGTCTGTAAGCGAGGACAGGTCTGTCTCCCAAGATCTGTGAAAGTGAGGGACCATCTTTCAGGATAGGTTGTAGATCTTTGATGATGCTCTGGAGAGGTTTTAGTTGGGGGCTGAAGGTGACAGCTAGTGGTGTTCTGTTATTTTCTTTGTTGGGCCTGTCTTGTAGGAGGAGACTTCTGGGTACTCGTCTGGCTCTGTCAACCTGTTTTTTCACTTCAGCAGGTGGGTATTGTAGTTTTAAGAATGCTTGATAGAGATCTTGTAGGTGCTTGTCTCTGTCTGAGGGATTAGAGCAAATGCAGTTGTATCTTAGAGCTTGGCTGTAGACAATGGATTGTGTGGTGTGTCCTGGATGGAAGCTGGAGGCATGTAGGTTAAATATAGCGCTCAGTAGGTTTCCAGTATAGGGTGGTATTTATGTGACCGCTTATTAGCACAGTAGTGTCCAGGAAATGGACCGCTTGTGTGGATTGATCTAGGCTGAGGTTGATGGTGGGATGGAAATTATTGAAATCATGGTGGAATTCCTCAAGGGCTTTTTTTTCCATGGGTCCAGATGATGAAGATGTCATCAATGTAGCGTAGGTAGATTAGGGGCGTTAGGGGACGAGAGCTAAGGAAGCGTTGTTCTAAGTCAGCCATGAAAATGTTGGCATACTGTGGGGCCATGCGGGTACCCATAGCAGTGCCGCTGACTTGAAGGTATATATTGTCCCCAAATGTGAAATAGTTGTGGGTGAGGACAAAGTTCAGCCACCAGGTTAGCTGTGACATTATCGGGGATACTGTTCCTCATAGCTTGTAGTCCATCTTTGTGTGGAATATTGGTGTAGAGGGCTTCTACATCCATAGTGGCCAGGATGGTGTTTTCTGGAAGATCACCGATGGATTGTAGTTTCCTCAGGAAATCAGTGGTGTCTCAAAGATAGCTGGGAGTGCTGGTAGCGTAGGGCCTGAGGAGAGAGTCCACATAGCCAGACAATCCTGATGTTAGGGTGCCAATGCCTGAGATGATGGGGCGTCGAGGATTTCCAGGTTTATGGATCTTGGGTAGCAAATAGAATACCCCTGGTCGGAGTTCTTGGCATGTGTCTCTACAGATTTGTTCCTGTGCTTTGTCAGGGAGTTTTTTTAGCAGATGGTGTAGTTTCTTTAGGTAATCCTCAGTGGGATCAGAGGATAATGGTCTGTAGAATGCGGTGTTAAAGAGCTGTCTAGCAGCCTCTTGGTCATATTCCAATTTATTCATGATGACGACAGCACCTCCTTTGTCAGCCTTTTTGATTATGATGTCAGAGTTGTTTCTGAGGCTGTTTGTGTTTTATGCTTCGGATGAGTTTTGTCCATTTTGAGGTTGAGCACTTTGGAAAGAGAAGGAAAAGTTCCCCTATGCTTATCTGAGATGGCAGGCACTATTCCTGCCGGAGCTCCCCTATTGGCTGAGAAAGGGTAACATCAGTGACCAAGGAAGCAAAGTAGAACCAGTAAGAAGCAGAGTTTCCATTTCCCAGCTGCTGGGAGGGGCCAGTTCTGTGCACTATTTGGCTGGAATACAGCAAGGCCCACATTTTCCAGTTGGGCTGCCTGTGGTTAATTGCCTAAATCCGTATGTACGTGTCTCAGGCAGTGAGCTGACAGTCCAAGACGTTGAGCACTTGTGGTTCCCATTGAAATGTTGGCCCAGCTCGTTATGACTCCCACCGTGCTCCATGCCATCACATCACAGCAGGAATCCCATGCTCACAGTTTCATGCTTATTAAAGCAAACAACCACAGTGTCCCTGCACGACGCACTGTGTGCCAGGGCCCCGGGAGCTTTTTAAATGAACACACTGAGAATCAATTGTCAGGGTAAGGAACTAGCAGCCTGACTGAATCCAGCGGGCCTGGCTGGAGGTCTAGGAAATGGCTGGCAAAATGCCCAGCAGAAGGTCTTGGGGAAAACCTGGAATTGGTCTGTTCAAGACAGTCTCTCTGCTTTCGTCAGGAAGGTGGGAGCAGGCTTCACCCTACAAAACTTGTATTGCTGTACATGGGTCAGGCTCTCTGGGTGAAGGGGGTGAGGGTGAGTGAGCCAGATAAGGGACCTGGACACAGAATAAATCCAGCATAATGAGTGCACAGCAATCCCACGTGATTTCTTCTTCCTTCCACGGAGTAAACAAAAACACATGCACCTGCATAGACGTGCAGTGAGGGGTTACTCGCAAACACATTTGGTGAGCTTTGATCCATCCTTCCTTAACAAATAGATTTCTACCCACACAGCCACTCCCTTGGCAATCCTTTCTTCCCTTGATACCCCCTCCCCCCATACACTGTCCCTTAGGAATCTAGTTTTATATGACAATCCATATTGCAATGCATCCCCTGCCCCCAGCATGCGTATACACTTGGGAATCCATTTCTTGGGGGGGGGGGGATCCAGTTTTGATGAACTGGATTAAACCCCCTTTCCCCTTCTCACTCACACCCCCACCCACCCACCCACCCATGTGGGGTCCTGTTTTATTGAGCAATCCAGAATAACACTCCTCATGTACCCTCCACCACCACCCCTCGCTGTTCTTCACCACAAGGAATCCAGTTTGCTGCAAGCACGCTTGGGATTCCAAACGGAGAGAGATAATGCAGCAGCTGCTGCTCCTCATGGCAGGCAGAAGTTCAGCGCTGTGCTGTGGGGAGAGCCCCTAGCCACAGAGCCAGTCCTGGCTGCGAGCAATCAGCTGGTCTGGGAGAGAAAAGGATTCCTGGGGCAGTGACCCGGATTCCACATTCCTGGGGGAGTAATGAGGACTCAGGAGACTGAGATGACCCACTCCTAACCTCCCCATTTGCCCCCTCTTGGCCAGTCCTCCGCATCCCTTCTTCCTCCAGCATCCTGGCCCCTCTCTTCTGATTGGTCTGCCCACTCTCCCTCCCATCTCATCTCCTCCGCTTCATGCAGACTGCAACGATGCATTGTGGGAAACTCCCAAGGTGTTTTTTTCCCTCTTCCGTCCTCCCTCCCTCCTCTCTGCAGAACATCCAGCTTCCAAGGTGTGACTTGTACAAACAACAGTCTGGGGAGAGAAGGTAGGGCTGCTGCTTTTCTTACCTACCCTTCCATACATGCCAGACCCGAGGAGGGAGAGAGGAGCACACAGGCCTGAGTCTGTGGAAGGCAGTGTGTGTGGGAGGGAGGGGGGAAAGAGAGTGCTTGCATGCAGGTGAATATAGAGAGAGAGATCTGGATCTGCCTGTTAAAGGTGTGTGTGCTCATTTCTGCAGCTCTGTGTGAGGCAGGTCATGGGACTGCCATGCCAAATGTGTTTGGACTGCTAGTAATTGTCTCTATTGATGCATTTGTCTCTACCCACACAGGCAGGGCAGTCTGGCCAAAACAACAGCGAATGCAGAGGAGAGCTCACTTTGAATGCCTTCCATTCCAAACTGCTCTCATATGTCATGCCTTACTCCCTGAAGGTCAGATAGCAAGGGGAGACATTCACACATGTGTGAGCGCTGCATGTGCCTAAAATCCAGATGGACAAACTGAATGGCTCTGTCACTTGCTTATTTCCTTCGCTTGCTTGGTTTGCAGGAGGTACCACTATTGCATAATTATAGCTGAGGATGCTCCCAAGAATTTCCGCTGTGATTTCTGGGGGGGACATTTAGCATTTGTCCTAAAACCGGATTAGAAAGGGAGAGCGGCAGCAGCATGCTGGAAATACAGACCTGGTTTTAACGAGATAAAAACACAGATGGCTAGATTAGGAAATCCGTTGTTTTTTTTAAACTGCATCATCAGCTAAAATCTCTTCAATAGAAAAAGGGAAACGGGGCCTTTTAAAAACAAATTGCCAGCCTTTGTTTTGGATTCTAGCTGTACATTTTTTTTGTGTCTTGAATGGATTATCTTGTTCATTCTCATTTGCATTCTGCATTGACGGTTTCATTTCTCAGTTTAATTAGTCATTAATCCTGCAGGCAGGATGCTAAACAAACAAATACACTTTGAAATTCCCAACAACCCAATTAGTTGCTATTGACATTTTGAAAAAAAAATCATTTGCATTCTCCCCCTCCCCCTCCCCCCCCCATTGTGCTAGAAACAGCTATGTGTCAGAGTCTGCCAAAGTAAAGGAGATGGACTACAGATGCTAGCTACAATATAGCTTCCTTTCAGCTGTCATAGCAGGTTATAACAAATGAGGGGGACGTAGCAAGGACACAGACAAAGTTGGAATCACCTAGCCTATGGCTGCAAAGAGGCACCGATATATTGATTATTGTAGGGAAATGTCTCTCTTTAGGAATCAGATGGTAAGAATGTGTGTTTAATGTACTGTTTCTGGAGTGTTTTAGGAAAGAGGTTTTTATCTATTCAGATGCTTTTGCTTCCACTTTTTGTCTGTGTATCTTCACAATAGAAGTGTGAAAATGCCTGTAGATTTGGTCTCTTTGCTCCTAATTAAGCTGCGTGTGCATATCCATCAGAACCAGGATCACACGGAGCCCGGAGGTAGGTAGGGGACAGTTATTATCCATGAATCGATGCCATCCTGTGCAAACTTCTCCTCCTGCATGGAGGTAGCAGGGGGCAAGAGCCTGGGTCTGCCCATGGCATTTCCATCTGAAGGGTGGGGGGGTTGGTGTAGGGATAGCATAAGGAGACACAGGAGGGATTGGGATGACTTGGTCACTATTCACCATCTAGAAGTTTGACCTTCATGGTTTTGACCTTCATTGTTTTCTTTTTTCCTTTCTGGGTGAGGGGCCAGGCTCCCAACACGATTAATCTTTTAACCCTGTTGCATGGCAGAGACATGCCAAGGACAATCTCAGACGCTCATAGACATGCACTTTCTTCGGGAGTCTTGTTCCTTTATGATCACACACTCCTCTGGCTGGCTGCCAGGCCACAGTTCGGCTAGCGCTCTGGCACAATGGCATCTATTCTGTTTGGTCAAGCCTCCGGCTGGGAGTCGGGAAAATCATTGCAGCCAGGAGCAGGGATATTTTATAGCCAAGTGTTGTGTGGGTTATAATTAACATAGAGTGATGAGGCAATGGAGGCTGGTCATGTGCTCTTCAGTAGATCCTTTATTGGCATTAGCACTGTGTCAGAGAGAGAGAGAGAGAGAGAGAGAGAGTGTGCAAATCTTTTGTTGCTTAGCTTGGTAAATCACAGGTGTGCATTGCCCCAGGGGATGTGTGCTCTTCTCAGCTACCAGTCCTAGCCTCAATCTGAATCCGTATCCGCAGTGGATTCATTGATTTCAAATGCAGAGCGACAGATTTAGGCCTGTGTCTGTAATCCACAGAGTGTAAAATTTGGGATCTTGTTTTGTGGATTCAAAATCGCTCCTCCAATCTTTTTGTCTGCCCCAGCACAGCTAATAGGGTAATTGCTGGTGACACAGATAGGGCATTATATAGTCCAGAACTCAATTAAGGGAGAACAGAAGGGACTAGTTATTAGGAACATTAATATGCTAAACAGAGCTGTCAGAGGCAGGTTGTTTTGTTTTATTTTATTTTATTTTATTTTGCAGTGTCCGAGATTGTCCTTCCCCTTTCTCTGGTCTGTGATTCACTGTACTTGAGGGAGAAGAGTTTGCTGTTTTACAATCAAGAAGCAGACTTGAGGGCTAGGAAGGGCTTCATGAAGGGGGATAAAGTGTTGTCAATCCCCTGGAAATCACAATCTGCCATTCAGGGTTGAGCACACACGAAAAATCTCATGAGATCAGTCAGAGAAGTAGCAGACAGGTGATGCTGCAAGCCTGACATGTAGATCATAATGCACAACAAAGGAACTGAATCCCATTCTTGCTGAGTTTTGCCATTGATTTAAAAGGGAGCAGGATCCCAATTTCTGGGACACCTACAAGGGCATGGGAACAATTCATATAGTGGGGCTGCTGAGAGCCATTGGACCCTGTAAACCACTTCAAGCCAGGGAGTGCGCCAGCACCCCCAGTTCCAGCACCTATGGACACTCACCATCTTGGCTGATGCACCAGAACTAGCAGGAGTGTTTACAGCTAAAGCTAAAGAGCCAGACACTGTAGCAGGGAGCTGTAACACATTCATATGCTCTGTGAACCGAATGCTGAGGGGGACACGTAACGCACACTGACTCTGGCTGGTAGGTTACAATTGCATCAGCACTGCAAACCCATTACCGAGCAGAAAATCTCGAGTGATTGCCCTCATCAGGCTCATGTACTCTACGAGAGGCTGGTTATTCCCTTCTGAAGCTGCCAAAGGAGACTACGAAGCAGGGAACATAGACACTGGTGAGCAGAGGTGAGCTTTTCCTGAGACACTCTGAGCACCTAGCTTCCCGCACTGAGGGAAACACTGAGTGGAGTCAGACGCAACATGGCATGAGGCTAAAAACAGGAAGGGGAAATCGTAGGCTATAAAGGAGGCTTTGCAATTGACATTGATCTATTAAGTCAAGGTTAAAAGAACATACATGGCCTCTAATGTGCAATAGCAAAAGAAAGCTGTTGGGGTGACTCTTCAATGGGCTTTAAGACATTGGTGGCTTCTCCATCCTCCTCTGTCAATTATACCTTCCTGCAGATTTCCCAGAAATCAAGAGCACATCCTCAGAAACATAAGCACTATTTTTCTTCAGGAGTGCAAGTCTCAGAGGTTAGCGTCATCTGGCTGGCTCTGGGGCGTGCTGGGGAAATGCCGGATGTCACCCTCTTTATTTCTTGGTATGTCTGTTAAACAGGCAGGAGCAATCACCGTGCATAATGAAGGCTGCCAGGTAATAAGGTAACAGGAAAAGCTCTGGGGGATGCGAATACTGTCAGGATGTCGAGATGGCTCGATGGTCTAAGCCTCAGGTTTACATTACCCAGGCTGTGACCAAATTCTAGCAGGGACCATCAAGTTCCTCCAGTGTCCCAGGTAAATAAATGGAGTTCCCTGAGTGTAAAGCCTTCAAGATGAGGTGGTAAAAACAGAGGTTCCATCTCTGCCTTGACAATGACGGTCTTCATAGCAGTTTTCATATCAGTCAGAGTGTGATCTGGTAAAACTTTCTTCCCTTCCTCACCCATACTGCTGCGTAGCATGGTGGTAGTCTGGACTGCTCTGTTGAAGGGATCCATTGTGTGTCAATATGCCACATTTCTGGGGTTGATATCCACGTGGTAAATATTCTTGGTCATGTGCCTTTGACTGCCTCACCTGAACTCTGCCCATTAATCCATCTCCTCCGAGATTACTTCCAACATTCCAGATCCCTGCACCATCCAAGACCACCATAATTTTAAAACAAATCAACCTGGGCACCAGTTTCCTTCTTTCCTCCAAATTCTCAAAATATTAGTGATTCAAGGCCCAGGATGAGCAATATTCAGTCCTGGTCCAGGGGCAGGTTTAAAGTCTAATATCTTATGACTCTGAAGGTCTAGAAACCAGAGATTTATCCCATTGGATAAAGGGAGATTTCCAGCTTTCCAAGGTGCGATGAAGACATTGATTCTATTTGTGAGAGGCCCCAGGATATCAGATTTTAAAGTAATGACATTTTTAAGCATAGAAAACCTATGGGGGATTTTTACGTTCACCTTGCACATTTTATATCCACCCAAGGTGTATGGCAGCAGTGAATTGGGTCACTTCTGTAGAATTTGGAAAGTGCTTTATAATTCTGCAGGGAGAATCCTTGAAATCTAAAATATTGGGTTGGTTGAGGTTTTGTTATAGGTTTTGTTTCCTTCCTACAATGTGGAAAAAAGACAAAAAAGGAAAAGTTGAGCTGAAGCTGCTTTTTGGCATAACTAGCCACATGGCAACTATACATTTCATGTCCTTGGGAGATGTGGTGGGATTATTTACTGCTGATATGATAGGAAATAGCCAACTTGTGTTTCCCGTTCCAGTCTCCCAAATGGCAGAGTATTAAAACAGTGAAACCCTGAGTCTTTGCCTCCTCAAATTAGCAGAGCTAGACTAAGAGCTTCTTTATTGCTTCTTGCCACAAGGTTATATAACACGATGGTGGAAGTGAAATTCCATTTTTCTGTACACAAAGAGCACCTAAATATGTTAGTTGGAAGGAA